CCTCCGCCGCCTCCCGCCCGCCCGCCAGACGCACCTGAGCATCACAGATCCAAAAATATGGATGCAAGCAGCACTTAAGTGCAACAAGAGGGAAAACGAGGAGCTAAACATGGCAGGGAACATCAGACCAACTGCAGAAATGAGTAATCAAAGCCATTTATAAATGATGTACGGCAAAATCGTTGAAAAAAACAAAGACAATCACTTGTAATGTTATTTAATTGCTGATCACTTTTGACCAATAGGTGGCGCTGTGATAAAATTGATATGGTGTATTCAGTGTGAGGTCACCGTGACGTGCTCAAAGTTTGGTGACAATGTGCAAAAGTGTCACAGAGTTACAGCTTCAAAATAATTTTGCCATCATGTCGTCAGATTTGTTGATGTATTAAATGATAAACGTTTGGCACAAGTTCAGTAGCTGTTTTGTCGGCATGATCTTAAGATGATCTGAATCACATTTGGTGAAAATCAGACGAACAGTCTAAGAGGAGTTCGAAAAAGAAGGCTTTCAAAGAAGATCAAAATAGACAGGAAGTGTAGCATAACTGGTATCTATGTTCCCGGCGTGATCCAAGGAATCTATCTCCTGACCACTAGGTGGCGCTGTGCCGAAACTGTGCAGGTGTCCTCAGGTCACGGTTGTCATTAACATATTCTGACCAAACTTGGTGTGTGTAAAGCGTTGTGGAGATATAGCCTCATCTCCACTTCGGCAAACTCTTCATCAAATTTATCCGTGTGTTATTCGAGAACGATTTGACGAATCGATTCGAATTCCTGAACTTTTTATCGGCATGATCTGAAGATGATCTGGTTTGCTTTTTGTGAATACCAGAGCCACGGTCTAGGAGGAGTTAAAAAGGCTAATAATTTTTATTCTAGTCCTTACAGTTATTGGAATAACATGAGTGCAACTTTGGACAGTTGGTGGCGCTAGAGAGTTTGAGTTAGAGACTCCAAATTTGCTGTGATTAACGTTCATACTGTCCTCGACCAGTGTGCCAAATTTCACAACTTTTTACCATCCGCTTCTACAGGCTGCCAATGACTTAAAGCGGGAGATTACTGTACTATTACAGTAAGTGTCTGCACGTACCGTCGCGCTCAGGCCGGTGTTGGGGACGTTGCAG